GCTGGTGAGATGGCTCAGTGGTCTAAAGCACCTACTTAGAACAAGCTAAGCCAAGCAAAGCACAGGGACCGCAGTTCAATCCCCCAGCACCACATGCCAGCCAGCCCCGCCCCCTGGTGGGCTGAGCTGGCCACACACACACAAAATAAATTAAAAAAAAAAAAAAAAAAGAAATGTAACTCATTCAAAAAACTTTCTACTACTCTGCAGTAAAGAAGTCTAAAAAATTAACTTCATGAGTAAATACTAATCCTCAAATCAGTGTAATCTGGTTCATTTTTAAATCTTTCTACTATTTGTAAAGAAGTGTAATGATACTTGTTTTTGTAATGACACCTTTTATAAACATGTGCACAAGCCTTAATTTGCTGCTTCTTTAAACATTTAACTGAATTTCACTTTTATTATATAGCCAATCAATGGTATTAACAGGAGTAAGTACAATACATCTCTTCTAAAGAAGTTAGGCTATGGCTTATGGAAAGCTTTTATATGATACATACATAGGCAAGCAACACTAAGAGGAACAATGCTTGTCCAGGATATGTCACATCTACACCAATTTTGGAAATCACTTTCAAAACGCTATTGCATGGAGATTTTACCACATGTAGGCTCATAGCTATTATTACCTTATCTCTGGTTTTATGCCTGTATGCAACCTCTATTTTAGCCTTGGCTAATTAACAGCAAAACTCCCTTGATGCTGGGCCACTTTAAGAACTGAAATGTTTTAAAAACTGAAAGTGTCATACAGTTTAAGACACAGGAGGCTCAAAGTAAGAGATATCTTTGCTTCAATTTCTGACCAATTGCTTCAATGAGAAGTGATGATAATGACTTTAATGAAAACTATCTTGAACTTTTCTGAGGACAAGGACTATCCTGTCTCACACCAAACTGGTCTGAAAATGAAAACAAAGTGGACCTAAGGATAAGTACCCAGTTTTAGGCTCTGCTTTTGTAGGCATAGGTAGTTCCCATGGGACAATGAATCCCAGTTATGGGCCTGAGCATTTTCCACCTATACACTGTTAGGCTGTGATAACCATCAAGCTCAGAAGTTTAGATTCACAAAAGCTTACTTCTCACTTATACTTTAGGTTGTACTTCCTTGATGAGCAAGTAGGCTCTGATCATTCCATCAGGGAGAGAGAGACTTGTGAAGAGTTTCGTGGTGGCAATACATGTACAATACATGTGCATTTGTGCATGTGTGCTCATGTGTGCACAAACTTGTCACTTCCACTTACAATTCACTGGACAGAACTAGTCATGTGACTCTGACAGATGAAAGGGGACAAGGAGATTCAATGGTGATGAGGAACAATTACTACCATATATCACTGCATTAATTAAAAGTACTATAACACTCAGAAAACCATGAGTGGACTGGGGATATAGCTCAGGGGCATAAGTGCCTGCTTGGGAAGTGCAAGGTCCTGAGTTCAATCCCTGGTACTGCAAAACGAAACAAAACAAAACTAAGATATTTTCTTTAAAAATATCTATTTCCCTGCCACAATTTAGGAGATATAAGTTGTGAATGATAACTTGTGTTCTCTTTCTGGGTCCACAGTAGTTATATGCAGAGAATTACACCAAACCTAATCTTATTTTTGCCCAATTTCTTAGTATTAAGTTTTTATAGTATCACCATCAAGGGAAGTAATTAACATATTATAGATTAATTGCTAAACTAACAAAATAGAATACAAATTAAACATGTCTCTACATGCCTTTGTTATTTCCATATTTTGGCTCTTCAAATGTTCTTTATACAGACAGATGTCCTCTTCTAATTTATTAGTCAATACATTCTATTTTTGTTGTAATTTTCAGCTGTTATTTTAAATCTAAATTATATATGAACATTTTAATAGTCAAATGGTGCTACCAAGCTTGTTATGAACAACAGTTCCTACAACTCCATACTCCACTTCCTAGTTCCTAGAGACAAGCACTTTCAATTCTTTTATACTTGGGTTTCATTTTCTAACTCTACAGCTCTAACTTATACTGCTACTTCTTAAGTTTTCTAGATTATTTTGCATTGATTCCCCATTATGGGAGAAAGGAGATTAGCTCTACTGACTGCTACTCACCTATTCCCTTATCTTCCCATACAAACATACAATTCACATAGTGTGTCTCCTCAACAGTTAGAATGTGATTTTGATTAGATTAATAGTCAATAAGCTGACATGATAATGTCTACTATCTTACCTACTTTTCTCTCATTGCTGAGACAAAATATCTAACACCCACAACTTACGGGAGGAGAGGTTTAGCTCACAGTTTGTGGAGGTTTCAGTTCATAACTGGCTGGCTCCAAGGTTGGGTGGCTTTGCAGAGGAGACACAGTTCACATGGGCACCAGGTAGCAGAAGCACCAAGAAAAGAACATAAACCTCTTTCCCTCCCTTATATTGTCCCAGGCTACTGGGATTAGAGTGTGTGCCAAAGCACTCAATCTACTAATTTAGTAATCACTCACCCTTATTATTATCAACCTTAATCCAGTATTATACCTTGAATCAATCACAGCCACCTCTAAAAAAGTTCCGTCTGTGACTGCATGAGGGTTTGGGGGACACCTAGGCACAAGCCATAACATCTATGTAAATTCCAGTTACAGCTTAGCCACAAGGGTTATCAGACATTTCTTTTCTTACACATACTTTTTCATTGGGATTACTAATTTTTAAAAAGTTTTTATAAAGCTATCAATAATTCAGGTATCTATTCAACTATAGTTGTACAATCTTCAGACATAGGTCTTTTATTAGTGGAATTATATTTTCTCTTGTCTTGTATTCTATTTTCTGGGGAGCTTTCCTCAATTTTATCTTCCAACTCTTCCACTGAATTTTGAGCTTTACATTTTGGGTATCGTATTAATTTTACTAGCCCCTTTTTCTCCCCTCTCTGAATGAGTTATAGTCAGCTGTCAGTATCTGTGGGTTATTGGTGGGTTCAATCAATTGCTGCTTGAAAATATCATTTTAAACGATTGGTGTGTCTGTTTTGCATGTACAAAAATGTGTGACCTGTAAAGCTAAGAGGAACTCCTGGGTTTATATGGGGCTTGTTAATGGTTGGGTCCACCATAAGGTGCTGTAGCTGTTTCCTTGAAGATCCCTTAAGGTCAGTATGTTTGTGGGGATGGATACACATATATTGTTATTCTGGGAAACAGGCAGATGAGGTTGGCAAGGGAATCCAACTCATACTTGGTCTTTCAATATAGTCATCACCGCTTTTCTAGCAGGGAAGCCCCAGAGTAGCATATTCCTGATGGTTTTCAAACCACGGACATTCTCTTTTACACTCTTTCTGAAAATTAAACTTCTAGTCTTCTGGAAAAAATAATCTAATTCTTGGGGAAAAAAAGACTTTGGACAAATTCTCCTTTCTTCAAGTGTACCTTCATCCTCATTCCCAATTTCCAAGTTTCTGCCGCTTTTAGAGTGAAAATCAAGTTGCTTCTTGCCTTTTACCTACTGCTGATTTAGGGTTCAGATTTCTGATGATGCTTAGTTAAAAATGCAATTTTATTTCCAATTAACTGCATTTGTTACTTCTATCTTCTCTATGTTTTCTTATTCTTTAAGGGTTTAACTATCCTTAGATTCCTTGCCATGGAGTCTTACCAAGAGGGAGAGCTAAATGCTTGCAGGAAAGGTGCCATCTTTAAATTAAAGTTCCATTTTGCTCTTTTAGAAATTACAGAATCACACAGTTTCTACACAGTGAGAGGGGCCTTAGCAGCACATAGTGAGCTCTTCCCTTCCAGAGAGCAAAATACCCTCATGGGATACATAATGATGCATTCTTCAAAGACAGAACATATATACGACAGTCGTCCTATAAGTTTATATCACCTAGTGATGTTGCAGCTATTTGGCTTTGTGAAAGTACACTCAATGGTGTTCATACAACAACAAAATGACTGCCAAATGCACCTCTCATAAATCCCTATCATTATACAGTGTGTAACTGTGTATTTTCCAGTTTGCAGATGAAGTGATTGAAACAGCAGGAAGTTGACAGTCTTAAGAATATCCAAAGTCATACAGATAGATGTCATGGTATTACTTATTCTATATACCTTAAGTAATTATCACTCTAAGGTTATATAGTTGTTTTTCTACTTTAGTTCCATTTCAAATTTAGCTAGATTTTTGTATTACTGCTACATTTTATCTTTTTTTGGGAGGCTAATTAGTTCTTCACATTTAAATTCATATTAGAAAATTAGGTGTTGAATTAGATATAATATAGTTAAATGTGAAGCTCTTATGACATTTGTTTATAAAAATTTCAGATAACGATGATTTTAAGATAGTTGACTTCAGGGTGGGGAGATGGCTCAGTAGAATAAGCACTTCCCTGGCAAGCACAAGGGTCTGAGTTCAATCCTCAGTTACACACACACACACACACACACACACACACACACACACACACAAAAGTAAGGTATACAGTAAAATAGTTGATTTCCTTAGATATGTTCTTTTGAGAAACACATATTTTACAAAAGATCATAATGTTGCAACTATCAAAACATCATACCATGAAAAGTTTATATATCTTTTTAAAGTAAATGGTAAAATCATTATTTTTAATTTTCAAGAAATATTTGAAATAGAAAAATCAGCTCAGTTTATTTCAAGTGTTATAATTACTCATTTGTATATTATTAGAAACTTACTGAAAAAAAAAATTACAGGGCTTGATGAAAAGGCAGAGGACCAAAGGATTAGGATTTGGAAAGATTCAAATTAAATTAAATTAAATTAAAATTAATGCTATTTTTTTTTCTATTTAATACAGGTCATAGCCTTAAAAGAGCAAATTTTAATTGTCAAAATTTACTTTTGATAAAGTAATTTGCTTTAGTCCATAACAGTTTTGTGAGCTTTACAACATTTTAGGTACTTTCATTAATGCAGCATTCTAGAGGAAAACAAAGGATAAAAAAGTCTTTAAGTACTTACAGATTCTTTTCGGCCCATAGTTTTGCTGTGGGAACGGGACCGTGAGATGTTGCTAAAAAAAGAATCTTTTTTAGTAGCAGATGAAGGTGGAGAGCCTGTAAATTCTCTTCCCCCAGGCAAACTTTCAATGCTTGGCGATGAACTGATGTTTTTAGAACTCTGTCCTATAAGAAAAATTAAGTAGCAATTAAAACAGAGGCTTTCAGTTAGCTAGTTAATTTACTCTTTTAATATTGCAAACATGTTCTAAGAAAAATAGAATGTAAACAAAAATATTAGAGAAAAATGAATGATGAGCAATTATGATATGGCTTTATTCACATTATTAACATAAAGATGCTGCTGTGTTAAACTGTAACAACACTTTCCATTCTTAATGAGATGCCTTTGGAAGGCATTTCTTACTCTAAGATGGATACTTGGCTATAACTTAGGTATTTAATATAAACTTATGTTTTTTATTTTCTCCTTTCATGAAGTTTGTTCACTGCTACTCTGCTTAAGCCAATGGTTTTAACTGCCTTTGCAGATGATGAAAGATTAAAGCAACAAGAATATTTACTCAGTTTTGACTTTAAAATTAATTTTAAAAGCCCACAGAATGAAAGATAAACCTAAAACGCCAAAGTACTTTGATTCACAAGAACATGAAGTTTTCACAAAATGAAAAAAAATTCCATCATTTTCAAAGAGACAACAAATCCTCTGGAAGTTGAGAACTATGCTCAGTTAATAGCCAATAAGGAATTAGGGACCTTGATCCTACACTTACAGGGAATAGAATTCTGTCAAGGTGTCAAAAAAGCAAAGAATCTCCTCTTGAGCCTCTAGACACCTGGGTATTAAACTGGTGAGATTAATATCAGAATTCTGACATATGTAAACTTTAAGTAGTGAATTCGTATTGTTAAGCTACTAAATTTGTGGTAATTTTTTGACAGCAACAGAAAATTCTGTCCAGATTTCCAACTTATAAAGTTGTACACAGTGGTCTTATAATTTTTGAAGACTCATCCTTCTTTGGTATCTTTAGCTGTATTATCATTTTAATTTTTTACATGTTAGCACTTTTTTCTCATTTTTTCTTTCTTTTTTCTTTTTGCAGAACCAGGGATTGAACTCAGGCCCTTGCACTGGCCAGGAAAGCGCTTATTCTACTGAACTATCTACCCAACCCCTTTTTTCTCATTCATAATCAGGCTTACTGAATATGAAGTTACTTCACTGTTTTAGAGAAGTATATTTGTGTTTTACTGACAAAATTTGTTTTAATATGTTATGAATCTCTTTTATGCTTATACATCCTTTTCCTTTTTTTTTTTTTTTTCGGAACCAGGGATTGAACTCAGGCCCTTGCGCTTGCAAGGGAAGCACTTATTCCACTGAGCCATCTTCCCGGCCCTCCTTTTCCTTTCTTTAGGTACATTTTGATGTTCTATTTCTAGCTTCTTGAATTGTGTACTTTATAAATAAAATTTAAGGTCTTTCTTATTTTCTAGTAATTATACTTTCTCTGAATATAGTTTTATCTAAATTTTTCAGGGTGTTGGTATTTGGAAATTTTTAAAGACAGTATTACCTAAAACATTTGAAATTTGGTTTTTGATTTCACTGCTAATACAAAAATTATTTAAAAAGTGATTTTATATTTGTGTGAAGTGGTGGAATATGTATATATAAAATGCTTCAGAGTGGTAGGAAAGCAGGTCTGCAGATAGACTTGAATTCATGCATGTCTCCAGATATTTTTTCTTCTCATTTGAAGGTTAATTTGCTTCAGAGTAAGATTATAATCCAAAATTACTTTCCCACATATATTTGAAAATAAACACAAATGTATCCAGGTCTTCAGTTTTATCAATAAGAAATTTAATGATGAGTATCTTCTAATTAATTAATTAACTAATTTTTGAACCAGGTCTTCTGGACCGGTGAGCTAGCTCAGCAGACTAAGTGCCTGCTTAGGCAAGTGCAAGGACCACAGTTTGATCCCTGCTACCACATGCTACACCGGCCTTGCCCCCAGGTGCACTGAGCCTGCTACCTAGACTGGGAGTGCACAATTGGGAGTGCTGTAACCCCAGTGCTGAGGAGGTTGAAAACAGGAGGATCACTATGAGTCTGAGCTGTGTAGTGAGACCCTGTACCAAATATATAAAAAAAGAAAAGAAAGAAAAGAATAGACCTGAGGAGAACAGTCATTGGAATAACATGCTTCCAAAGGGGAAAGATGGAGTATTTCTTCTGGAGAACTTTTAAGAAGCCCAGGGACCAGTACTCTTGGCTTGAAACAAAAGACTGTACTATCAGACATCCCTGATTGTTTTCTGCATAGCATACACAGCATATGATCACATTTGAATGGACACTGGAGCAAACTGATGAGGCTTCATTCATGCTTCACCTGACAGCTCCTAAGGTGACAGCAGGTATTCTTAACAAGTTTGTATTTTGTGTGTGTGTGCATGTGCATGTGTAAATTTCTTTGCAGTATGGGTGACTGAATCTATATTCCTGGTCCCACACTGCTTCTTCCATTCCCTAGGTCCTAATCTTGAGAGGACTCATCAATAAACTTTTCAGCTCATAGATTTGTGTTTTGCAGTTTGTTTCTCAGGATTTTTGACCCAAGAAAAATCTTTAAAATTATTTTATACTGTAAAGTATTATGAAATATACTACTTATGTGTCATTCTTAAACCACCTCAGTTGTGGATGTATTTTTAATGCTTTTAAAAATTAATTAAAAAATTAATTTGAAGGCCAGCCAAATAGCTCAGCAGATTAAAGCACCTGCAACCAGGCGTAGGTTTGGTCCCCAGGCCTGCCGTGCCAGCCCTACCCCGGGGTGTGCTGAGACAGCAATTGAGACTGAGCATGGTGGTGTGCACCTGTAATCCTAGCTCTTGGGAGGCTGTAAACAGGCAGATCACTACAAGCTTGATCTAATAGTGAGACCCTGAACACCCTGTAGACCCTTCCCTAAAATATACAAACAAACAAACAAAAATTAATTTGATTCTCATTCTCTCTGTCTCTGTCTCTCAATGTCTCTCATCACAGGGAATTTGTACCTGCACATAATGTATCTTGACTCTTCTTTTTTCGCCATGCATGTAGTCTTTCATTCATAATCAAGCATCAGGGAAAAAGCCCCATGTACAGACTTTATGAGATGCCTACAAAAAGCTCTGTCAAGCACTGGGATAGGTAAAACACCACACGAGAAGCTCTTAAGTGCTCAAATCAATTTTACAAGGGGAATACAGACTTGTATATATACCATCCTGTAATCCAAGATGGTAGAAAACGAACAGAAGGGTACAAACAACATGTTTTAGGAGCACTAACTGGGAGTGTCCATTCTTGTCTGAGATAATTAGAGATGTGAGTAAAATCTTAAAACCTAAGGAGAGTGTGGTGGCAATTGTGGCTCAGGAAGGGTCAGTTCTGGCAGACAGTATAATATTTACAAAAGCATTTAGATTACTGAGAACATCTAGATCATCCACAGCCTCATGAAAATGTTTAGTGCTCTCTGCCATCAACATGTAATTCAAACTAACACAAACATCAAATTATAGAATATGATTAAGTTTAACAGAATGCCAGAATGCTTTTCATTCATTTGACATTTCAGTGGTGCGTGCGTGAACATGTGTAGGGGACCAAATATCAGATTCTTTCTATGAGTTGTTAGTATGTTAAAAATGAGCTTAGTTTACACCCTAGGTACCCTTCCTTGGGGAAGGAAGGCCAGGGATGATGAGGCTGTAAAAACAGGATCAGCCAGTTCAAAAAGAGCTCCTCTTATGTTAAGGGGCCTGCCCTTTATGTTGATAATAGACAATAGGAGTTACAGATTTTAAGTTGGAAAGTACCATGAGAATTACAAGGGCTTAATTGATTGACATCTGTTAATTTATAAAGATTTAACTATAGCTATCATAATGGATTTGAGAGGTTTACAAAGTAGAATTTGTCATGTCGTTAGCTGATGAGTCAGTATACTTAGGTTTGAGTTTGAACTTAGTTGATATCTAGTCCTGTAGCCTTGAACAAGTCACTTACTGCCCATATGCTGCAGTTCTCACCTACAAGTTGCTATGTCCTGAGTGAATTATTTAAGGGGTTTAGTGTATTTTTGTTAGGAGACAAAATATTTCTAGCGGAAGGCACAGGGGGACTTCCAGATTTACATCAAGCAGTTTAATATGCTACTTTTTGGATTAGAGACTTACAGGGCCTCTCCTAGTAGGACTATTCTCTGGCTCTTGGTGGGACCTTTCCTGGTTGACTGGCTGCACTTGGCCACGATCTCCCACAGACTTTGGGTAACCAGCTTCAAGTATAAAATCACCACATATACTTCACATGACTACCTGACATAAACCCTGAAATCCAGGATACATTCTGCTTATTAAATCATGTGTTCTGTGTCTGTATGGCAGAGGTGTTTTA